GACGCTTCGGGATCGCCTAATAAACGCTTAGTAGTCGATTTTAGAAAATTAAATTTGAAAACTATTGCTGATAGATACCCCATGCCGAGTATAAATATGATACTGTCGAATCTGGGAAGGGCCAAATTTTTCACTACCCTCGACCTTAAGTACGGTTACCACCAGATAGAGCTTGCGGAATTGGACAGGCAGAAAACTTCTTTTTTGCGGTCAATGGAGGCAAGTACGAGTTCTGCAGCCACCCTTCGGACTAAAGAATGCCTCAAGCATTTTTCAAAGGGCAATAGACGATGTCCTCCGGGAGAAAATAGGAAGGATCTTTTACGTCTATGTGGATGACGTTATTGTCTTTTCAGAAACTGAAGAATCTCATGTTGACCATATTGCGGATGTTTTAAAGTGCCTGCCGGACGCCAACATGCAAGTGTCCAAGGAAAAGTCACACTTTTTTAAAGAAAGTGTCGACTTCCTCGGTTTTGTTGTGACAAAGGAGGGTAGGACAAATCAGGACAAGGTAAAAGCCATCAAGGATTTTAAACAGCCAAGTAATTTGTTCGAGCTGAGATCGTTCTTGGGCTTAGCGAGTTACTATCGATGCTTCATTAAAGATTTCACATCAATAGCGAGACCTTTGACAGAGTTACTGAAAGGTGAAGGTGGCAGGGTTAGCAAATACCGTTCAAAAGGCATTTCGGTGAGCTTTGATGAGTCCCAGTTAAGCGCATTTGACAAGCTTAGAAATATTCTTGCTTCAAAGGACGTTATCCTCCATTACCCAGATTTTACGCTACCATTTGATTTGATAACTGATGCTTCATCCTTTGGCATAGGTGCAGTTTTGTCTTAGGGAAATAGGCCTATGACGATGATATCCAGAACGTTGAAGGGAATTACTAGCAATTGTATGGGCCTTGGATAGTCTTCGTCACTATCTCTATGGAAAAAGTGACATAAACATATTTACGGACCATCAGCCCCTTATATTTGCGGTTTCTGATAAGAATCCTAATTCAATACTCAAACGCTGGAAGGCCCACATTGAAGAAAGTGGTGCAAAGCTCATGTATAAGCCAGGAAAGGAAAACTGTGTGGCGGACGCTTTGTCGCGACAACGTATTCACATTTTGCAAAGTTCAGCGGAGTCGAATCGAGCCACTATTCACAGTGAAGAGTCATCAACACTTGTTATTGAGGCCACGGAAAAGCCAGTTAACTGTTTTCAAAACCAAATCATATTGGAGGAGGCGTCCACGTCAAATAAGCGACTATTTATTGTGTTTGGTACTAAGACTCGCCATCAAATTGATTTTTCTGATTAGGAGACATTGGTGGACTTAGTGAAAGACGTAGTAAAGCCCAACGTCGTGAACGCCATACATTGTAAGCTTCCAGTTTTGGCCCGTATTCAAGATAGTCTGGTTCGGCTCTTCCCGGCCACTAGATTTTGGTATTGTAAGTATTGGGTGTCGGACGTTATCAGACCGGACGAGCAAAAAGCAATACAAAAAGCAAAAATATTTAACAAGTGCTGCTTGACTATTATTTTTTAAAAATGGGAAAAATATAAACTGAAATCGTTCTAAACTGCAGGATTTGTCAGAAAGCAAAATATAATAGGCACCCATTAAAGCAGGAATTAGGAATTTCGCCAATACCATCGCGGGTGGGAGAGATGTTACACATGGACATCTTCTTAACAGGGGGAAAGTACTTTCTCACTGCTGTCGATAAATTCAGCAAGTTTGCGGTGGTCCAGCCAATAGAACCGCGCGCCAATTTAAATGTGAAAATTCCAATTCTCTTATGTTCGATCGATTTATTGCGATAATGAGGCATCGTTTAACTCCGAAACTATACGATCCATGCTGAAAAAGCATTACAATATCGGTCATTCTGGTCATTTATGCAGTCTCTTTCCCGACATGTATCTTTTCCAATCGCACACATACCATACGCCAGATATCACACGCTTTCACGTCATAGGCTACGACTTACCATTCGCAGCGATTCAAGGATAACCCATGCAGGCTCGCCATCGCAACGAAACGCTCTCAGACTCCACTCCCTTTTAAGCCTATTCTTTTTTCACTAAACGAAAAAAGCCCGCAGCATATTGCTTACAACAAATTGCAATTGCATGGAGCAGCAATTGCTTACAACAAAATGTTAGCTGCAGCAGCGCTTTACTGATTCGCGTTCTGCGTATCGATAAAGATAAAGATTCATCAGACGGCGAAGCAGAGCCTCGATAGTGGTGACTCAAATTCTTGCTAACATGGGTATGGCCGAGAACGTCCATGTTTTGAAAAAGGAGAGTAGTTAACAATGCAACGGTGAACTGAGATAAGGACACGAAGACGGACGACGCATATGGTCTTACGACGGGCGTTGGCCGACGTCTGTGATCTGTGCGAGTTAAGAATAAGAATAAATAAGTTAATAATAATATAAAATAAAATAATAAGAATAAGTTAAGAATAAAGGCACCTCTTCCAAGTCTTGTATTTTATTTGGAGGAATAACTGCAGCCACGACCCGGCTACCAGTTTACAAGAAGAGGATCAGCAGCATCATCGTCACTGATCGTGGCCAACACCTAGTCTTGATCGATGCCCTGCATCATTACAGGAGTACAGAGACATCTACAAAGTGACCTACCGTTGTGGGCAGCAACTTGCCGCATCGGTTTCGTCAGAACCCAGAATTCCGTGAGCAGCGCGTGCCACGGTGAAACCCTCCTGCAAGAGCTGTGCAGGTGGAGAATGTTGTAGGCAAACACTCTGCCACTACTAAAGAAAACCTTATTTTACACACCCTTGTTTCTTTTACACACAGTATATAAGTCGTAAAGGCCGGGGTTGGCCGACGATATCCTATAGCTGACATATAACTGATTGATCAGAAATAGTATAACTTTGGTGTTTCTAGAGTACGGGCGTTCGGATTTTGCATGAGTGCTATTTTTGGAAAAATTATACGACTTACCTAATTGAATAGGGATCGGGCGACTATATCCTACAGCTGCTATATAACTGAACAATCAGAAATGACGCAACTTTCGTGTTTTTGAAGATAGAAAGTTAGATCTTTGTACAGATTCTATTTTTGTTGTCAGTTGATCTGAAAGTTGGAACTTTTTTTTGTTTTTGTCAATTGTACCAAATTTCATAACGATCAGACAACTATATGTTATAGCTGCCATATAACCGAACGAAGGAAATGGTATTTGGACTTAAGTCTTGATTAGGGACTTTTTTTAATTTTTTTAATGTTATAAATTGGTTATATTATAATGGTTATATTCTCATAATGATCGGCCACCTATATCCGATTTTTGCGATATATATCCCGTTTTAACTGCAACGGTATATCAACTTTCTTGTTAAGCTTTTGTTAAGGAAGTTAGCTTTCCTTTCTTGTTTTTATGCACATTATTTTAAAGTTGGACTACATTATCTGAAAATCTTTTTATCATTTTCATTAATTTTAATAAGAAAAACTCAAATTTATAGCTTTTCCATCCACTTTGGCAACCCTAAAATATAAAAAACCTATTAAATCAGATATACATACAAGCACCTTAAACCGGGAAGTGAAATGGGAAAATGGTGAAATTTTTTTTGTTTATAACCCTTTTAACCCTTTAGCTTAAAAAGCATGCGGGAGAGTGTTTTATGTTTTTTCTTTCAAATTTATAATCCAAACAAGAAAAATAAAAATTTAGAAATTACCTTAACATCGCCTTAGTTTGTAATGGATCCCGCCATAAAAGTCGTTATAAGGTCAGGCCGCTTAGTGGAACCCGCTGAATTGGAAAGCGGGTTCCACAACAAACGGCTAGCAGATGAGTGAGGGAAAGAGAGAATTCTATTTTAAGAACGTAACATCTTTGGAACAGTGAAGTGTGAGAGCAAAGAGATCAGAAATATCTTCTACTATCTTTACTTTTTAGCTCTGTTTTTGCCATTCTCGCTTTTACTTTAATACCAACTTTAAATATCAATAAAAAAAACTTGGAAGGTAGCCTAGATGGAAAGCACGCGCTCCGTACCCTTGCGGTCCAGAGTTCGATTTTATAAGTAAGATTGTTTCAATTTTAAAAAAATTTTTTTAGTTTTATGATTATTTTACTTTAATTATTATACTTTAATTATAATTTTCTTAAATTATTATTTTTAATTGCATTCTATTACAATTGTTGCAAAAATAAGTGTCGGATGACAAAATTACGGAATTTTATTTACTGGACATAATTTTGTATTTTTTTCTTTGATAAAAGTTTGAAAAAAGTTTGAAGTCTTTAGTAGGATTTGAACATATTTAGGTAAATTGGACAAAGAGCAACTACTCCATGCATTACGCTACCATACTATTTGTTCTACTACCACATGAAATTTGGAAGCCAAAACATTTTTACGCCGTCGTGCGAGCAGTAACACATGCATACAAAGGCATACTTTTTTTTACACATTCATGTAAAGGTTCTAAGAATACAATCGTATGCATTTGCGTTCCTCTCTCACCAATAGGCTCGCAGAAAAAAGGGCCTGAGGACCGTTTTGGGCTTGATGTCCCATCTATGTATTGTATAATCTTTTCGTGAACCAAGCACCCAGCATAAACTTCACCATGAACGTCAATCTAAGCTTTGCCACCGTTTTGCCCACTTCACCGGTTTTGAACACCATCAAACACCTGAACACCTGTCAGTCACCATCTTCTTTAGAAACGGATCGATTTACAAGCGATTTACAAGCGATTCTCATGCATCAATACTCATAAATAAGTTGTTCTACGTCAATTCGTGTGGCATCCACACATTGAGTTTCTTGTAAATCCACGCTTTTAACACTACCTATATACGTTTCGGAGCCATTTTGTGTAACTATATTAAAGCCATACCTCATTGTAGTTGAAAAAACAAAGTTTTTATTAGATAATTTCATAAAAAAGTTTTGATTTGTCTTGCAGACAAAGTAAGCCAATACCGAAATACATACCAAGCATGATAATGAAATCTTATGTCATCCAAAAGATTGGCAGCTTTGATGGTCCAATAATTTTATTAATTTACGAGAAACAACTGAAGAGCTTGGCTTAGTTTGAAAGACACATTCGATGCAAATGCATAATCAGGACGGCCGAATGTGAATTGGCCCAAGAAGCAGCATGTCATACTTTGCTGATATGGCGCATTCGTGCCAAAGTTCAAATTATCTGAAAAGGGGCAAGGTAGTATTAAAAGGCTTAAGACGGGGCTTTATATTCAATTGTACATTTAGGTTTTTACATAAATTCTTTTGAATTTCACTCTATTTTTATACCCTTGCAGAGGGTATTATAATTTTGTCCAAAAGTTTGCAACGCAGTGAAGGAGACATCTCCGACCCTATAAATTATATATATTCTTGATCAGGATCACCTCCTGAGTTGATATGAGCATGTCCGTCTGTCCGTCTGTCTGTTTCTACGCGAACTAGTCTCTCAGTTTTAAAGCTATCGACTTAAAACTTTGCACACACCCTTCTTTCCTTTGCACGCAGTATATAAGTCGGAACGGTCGGGATCGGCCGACTATATCTTATAGCTGCCATATAACTGATTGATCGGAAATGGCATAACTTTTAGACTTTTAGAGTTAGAGAGTTCAAATTTGACACGAGAGCTATTTTTGGCAAAACATTACGACATGCCAAATTTCATAAGGATCGGCCGACTATATCTTATAGCGGCCATATAACTGAATGATCGGAAATGACCCAACTTTCGTGTTTTTGAAGATAGAATGCTGAAACTTAGTACAGATTCTATTTTTGGTCAGTTGATCCAACCTACGAAATTTTATTAGGATCGGCCGACTATAGCTGCCATATAACTGAACGATCGGAAATGGTATTTGGTAGAAATATCAACTTTCGTATTTTTTAAGATAGAAGCTTGGGACTTTTTTTTAGATCTTTAATTGTAATTAATTGATTTTATTATGTTGTAATCATAAGGATCGACCAACTATATCCGATGTTTGCGATATATATCCGGTTTTAACTGCAAGGGTATATAAACTTCGGCTCCGCCCGAAGTTAGCTTTCCTTTCTTGTTATATTATAAAGTTATTCAAAATATTAAAAGTTATTGAGATTCTGATTTTTATTCCACTGGGACTTTATCTAGTTTCACACCTTTTTTTTATCGACCTCCCACTCACGTGGGAAGTGTTTTTACTCACTTATCTCTTAAAAAAGCCTTTTAACTAAAAGTCAAATAAATTCCTAAGCTTATTGAAATCATTGCACTATGGGAAATTTCCACATTTTTATATGATTTAAAAGTAGGTTGCGAGCATGACGTTTCGTACTTTTATACCTGTGGGGGGAAAACTCTCATTTTCCATAGCACGCGTGCATCCACTGCCATCCCAACCACCTAAGCCTATGAGGTTCACAATCCGAATCAGGCTGAGGAATTAGTAGAAGCCAGTTGTGTGAATGTGTCGGCGAGACTCAGTGAAACGATCCCAGAATTGAGCCCCAGACTTGAAGCTCCCCACATTCATGGTTGCGAGCCGAAAAATAAGTGGCGTTTCCAGCATTAAGCGATTCCAGAGACGATGAACACAGATAGGTAAGGGCAAAAACGAGAAGTGAAGATGGAGTGACATCCTCCCGACGCAGAGAATGTAAGGTGTACGCGGTGCAGCTCAATGAGGTCCCACAACTGAGAACTGCTTCATGTAGCTTAGATTCCCTAGCTCATCATGAACCTTTCCAGCACAACGTATTGGTCCTGTCGAACAAACTGTGCAGCTCAGCCTCTTGCATCTGTTCCGCTGATTTGGCTTTGCTTTGCAACTCCAAAAATTCCTCCAAAAGTTCATGAGCCTTTTGTCTCAGATGCTATTCCTAATCTATTCCTTTCCAGAAACCTTTCCAGTATACATTCCAGTGACGAAAAAAAAGATGCAGGGAAGCGCGCCAAGGTTGAGACAAATGATGGCACCGAGAAATCGCAACAAGAGATAGGAAGAACGGAACGGTTAGAACCGCTCAGTCAAATTTCGTTATTGATTGTGTCACTCGGAAAACTGGTCGAAATTATTTGTAAATATCTGCCGAGACTTTGCCAAGACTATCGCGCTGGGATCACCCATAATGATTTAACGATCGTTTATGGTACCAGCAGTCTTCCCGGTTCCCAATAAATAAAGCAACGTGATATAAAAAAAGGAGCGAAGCGGGGCGACGGCGACACGGCGGCTTGAGCGGCACGACAAGCTTAGAAGAAGTGCAAGGCTTCCCGGAACTTATAGTACATGTAGAGAAATGGTGACAGTGAGTTTATTTGCATTAAAATCATTTTGTCCGAGAAATAAATTTATACATTACATTTTCGTATATACCGCCATCGTCTGAACCGCCCACATATTGGCAGCATTTGTCCGCTATTCAACCCGTTTTTAATCATATGACTGATCGTAACCAGCTCGTCACTGTAGGCGACTTTAATATCCCAGAATTAAAGTGGTCCAACGTCGAGAACTCACCATCTTTGTCACTTATCACTCACCATGACTTCACCGCGAGTATGTTTGACATGTCCCTAGGTCAGATTAACCATGTTAGAAATTCGTTAGGTCGACTTTTAGACTTATGTTTTGTATCTGATCCTGATGGTACCGCTCTCTCCAGAGCTTTTCCCCTATCAACCCGAGAGGATCCATATCACCCCACGCTGGAGGTTTCAATCGTAACCATTCCTGGTACGATCAGATGTCTCCGCGTCGTAACAAGATTCGCTGTTTCCGTAAAGCTGATTTTCACAAACTTAATAGCCTTATAGATACATATGATTGGTCCGATATTCTGGCATTTACTGATCTTAACGTCACCTGCAGTACTATTGATTTTTCAAGATATCTACTAGCTCGGTGAAATTTTACCGTGCATAACGCTGAATGTTACAGGAATTATATTCGCCGCTGCCGGATACAATTTACTCAGGATCCAAAGCAGTTTTATAATTTTGTAAACACTAAGCATAAACACGTATCTTTTTCACCCCTGCTTACGTTTGAAAATTCCTCTGCAAGCTCTGATCAGGCCATTGCCGATCTATTCGCAGAATTTTTTCAAACAACTTTCCGCCTAAATTGACAGATAAATATTGACAACTTATTATCTGATATTCTAAGGGTCAAACCCATTTATTCGCCAGGCCCCGATGGAGTAACAGGCTGTGCGCTAAAATACTGTGCCAGGGCTCTGTGAAAACCTCTTCTTAGACTTTTCAACTTATCTTTGGAGACCTCGATTTTTCCCCTTAAGTGGAAGGAATCATTCATAAGTCCCCTACAAAAAAAAGGGAAAAAGTCCGATGCTGCCACCTACAGAGGCATCTCTAAGTTGTCGGCAATTCCAAAGTTATTTGAAAAATTAATTACCCCTCATTTGCATCACCTTTGCTCTTCGATTAAATCTCCCTGTCAGCATAGCTTTATTAAGCGTCGCTCTACCACCACAAATTTACTGGAGTAGACATCCTTTGTCATAGATGGCTTTTGTAAGGGATATCAAACCGATGTAATTTACACAGACTTCAGCAAAGCATTTGATTCAGTTAATCACTCACTCTTGTTGAGTAAACTGAATATGCTAGATGGAAGGACACAAAGAGTCTTATTTAAAAACATACAGCCCCGTCTGGTCCGTGCTACATTTGACGTCCCTCAAGGAAGTCATCTTGGCCCGTTATTATTTACGCTTTTTATAAACGACTTGCCCCCTGCTTTAACAAGCTCTCTAGTTCTTATGTATGCAGATGATGTAAAGCTTTGTCTCCAGTACAAATCCATCTCTGCCCAATGCAGTCTTCAGTCTGACCTTGATAGCTTTCAAGAATGGTGTTTAGCTAATGATCTAATACTTAATGGATCAAAATGCAAGCATATGTCTTTTTATCGTTCTAGCCCCCTGCAAGCTACTTATTCTATTAATGGGATTGCCTTAGAGAAATTAACTCAGGTTTATGATCTCGGCGTCCTATTAGGCATTAAACTTAAATTTTCCGACCATATTTCCTTAATGGTTAATAAGGCTAAAGGAGTCCTTGATTTTATTAAAAGGTGGTATTTAATGACCCATCAAAAGAATTTAATGACCCATACATAACCAAAACATTATTTATTTCTTTGGTCCGTCCCATACTGGAGTACGGTTCATGTGTCTGGAGTCCCCAATATGGAGTACATAAGGACCGCATAGAATCCGTACAAAAGAACTTTTTAATATTCGTACTTAGAGGTCTATAGTGGGATGCAAATCTTCAGCTTCCATCCTACAGCAGCAGACTTTTACTTATAAACTTACCTAGCTTAACAAATCGTAGGACAATGCTCGGTGTAGTCTTTCTGCATAACCTTATTAACGGGGATGTAGATAGCCAGCATTTACTAACCCGCTTAAACACTCGCTTAAGGACTCTAAACTTTAGTCCTCTGTTCCTTAGCCATTGTACGAGGGCTGACAATAAAGTAAGGTCTCCAACGCTGCAACTTCGCCGGATCACGCGCTAGGCAAAATCTGGCAACACCGCCGTGTTCCTTGGTTCCCCCACTACCACTTTGCTGCTGGATGAGGTTTCCCCGACCGCTCAGTCTTGGCTGAGCAGCCGTCAACGATGGAGGTACCCCTCGCGTCAGCGTCCAAGTGCGAATTGCGTTCTGTAATACGTTTTTTGAGTGCGAAAAAGGTCACACCTATTGAAATCCATCGTCAACTAGTTAAAGTTTACAGGGAAAAGTGTATGGACAAACAAAAAGTGCGTAAGTGGAGCCGCGAGTTCAATTCCGGGCGCACTTATGTTCCCGACGAGGAGAGAAGAGGCCGACCGTCGGTCTCGGATGCGATTGTTCAAGCAGTGGAGGCAGAAATGCTCAAAAACCGCCGTGCGACAATTAGAAACTTGGAAGAGAAACTTGGAAGAGAAGCTTGGAGGAGTGTGTAGAAGGAAACAATCCGTCATATCCTTGTGAACAACTTGCAGTATCACAAAGTTTCTGCCCGATGGGTGCCGAAACAGCTGACCGAAGACCACATGAAGCGGCGCGTGGAATGTGCGACCAAAAATCATCGATCACCCTCCCTATAGTCCCGACGTGGCCCCAAGTGACTACCACATGTTCCCCGCCCTGAAAAACGTCTCGGAGGGAAGAAGTTTGATAG